AGAGGAGCCTCTTAAAGAAGAAGTTACAGGTCTGTGAGAGCCAGAAATCTTGCTTGTTTGTAGGTGACCAAATACTTATTTTCCACCATAATTTGCAAATAAATTCATAAATAATCCTACAATGTGATTTTCTGGATTTTTTTCTTCTCAATGTGTCTGTCATAGTTGACGTGTACCTATGATGAAAATTACAGGCCTCTCTCATCTTTTTAAGTGGGAGAACTTGCACAATTGGTGGCTGACTAAATACTTTTTCCCCCCACTGTATATAAACACTAGTTATAAGCACTAGTTATGATTTGTGGGGACGCGGGGAGCAGGAGAATCGTTTTGAACATCACTGTTTTTACATTTAAATTGTAGTGTATTAGGATTATGTCTTTGTTAATGTTTTTCATGTAGAAATGAAAAGATGTTTATGTTAGTTCAAAAGTAGCCATTTGTAGGGTGACGCCCCAGGGGAGACAGGTGATTGGACAGCAGAGGGAGCAACCCATATTTTTGCATTGTTTATAAGTAAATGCTGGAGGAAGAGGGGGTTAGAAACAGACAGATTATTTTGGGACACTGTTTCTCCAGACACTGCAGGTCTGTAAATTTATGCTGAAAACTTGTGATATGAATAAAACTTGTGATCAAAGTTCAGTATAAGCGGACTCCTTTGTTTGACAGCAATAATTGCCAGCATCGACGCGATACACTACAAAATGTAACTCAAGATGTCATCAAGATCTTTTTTAGGTCCGCTCTTATTTTTTTAACTACTGAATGGAGAAAACGTGTCGTTTTCACATACAGTTGAAGTCAGAAGTTTACATACACCTTAGCCAAATACATTTAAACTCAGTTTTTCACAATTCCTGACATTTAATCCTAGTAAAAATTAGGATCACCACTTTATTTTAAGGATGTGAAATGTCAGAATAATAGTAGAGAGAATGATTTCTTTCAGCTTTTATTTCTTCCAGTGGGTCAGAAGTTTACATACACTCAATTAGTATATGGAAGCATTGCCTTTAAATTGTTTAACTTGGGTCAAATGTTTCGGGTAGCCTTCCACAAGCTTCCCACAATAAGTTGGGTGAATTTTGGCCCATTCCTCCTGACAGAGCTGGTGTAACTGAGTCAAGTTTGTAGGCCTCCTTGCTCACACACGCTTTTTCAGTTCTACCCACATATTTTCTATGGGTTTGAGGTCAGGGCTTTGTGATGGCCACTCCAATACCTTTACTTTGTTGTCCTTAAGCCATTTTGCCACAACTTTGGAAGTATGCTTGGGGTCATTGTCCATTTGGAAGATCCATTTGCGACCAAGCTTTAACTTCCTGACTGATGTCTTGAGATGTTGCTTCAATATATCCACATAATTTTCCTTCCTCATGATGCCATCTATTTTGTGAAGTGCACCAGTCCCTCCTGCAGCAGAGCACCCCCAAAGCCTGATGCTGCCACCCCCGTGCTTCACGGTTGGGATGGTGTTCTTCGGCTTGCAAGCCACCCCCTCTTTCCTCCAAACATAACGATGGTCATTATGGCCAAACAGTTCTATTTTTGTTTCATCAGACCAGAGGATATTTCTCCAAAAAGTACGATCTTTGTCCCCATGTGCAGTTGCAAACCGTAGTCTGGCTTTTTTTATGGTGGTTTTGGAGCAGTGGCTTCTTCCTTGCTGAGCGGCCTTTCAGGTTATGTCGATATAGGACTCGTTTTACTGTGGATATAAATACTTTTGTACCTGTTTCCTCCAGCATCTTCACAAGGTCCTTTGCTGTTGTACTGGGATTGATTTGCACTTTTCGCACCAAAGTACGTTCATCTTTAGGAGACAGAACGCGTCTCCTTCCTGAGCGGTATGACGGCTGCGTGGTCCCATGGTGTTTATACTTGTGTACTATTGTTTGTACAGATGAACGTGGTACCTTCAGGTGTTTGGAAATTGCTCCCAAGGATGAACCAGACTTGTGGAGGTCTACAATTTTTTTTCTGAGGTCTTTGCTGATTTCTTTTGATTTTCCCATGATGTCAAGCAAAGAGGCACTGAGTTTGAAGGTAAGCCTTGAAATACATCCACAGGTACACCTCCAATTGGCTAAAATGATATCAATTAGCCTATCAGAAGCTTCTAAAGCCATGACATCATTTTCTGGAATTTCTCAAGCTGTTTAAAGGCACCATCAACTTAGTGTATGTAAACTTCTGACCCACTGGAATTGTGATACAGTGAATTATAAGTGAAATAATCTGTCTGTAAAGAATTGTTGGAAAAATTACTTGTGTCATGCACAAAGTAGATGTCCTAACCGACTTGCCAAAACTATAGTTTGTTAGCAAGAAATGTGTGTAGTGGTTGAAAAACGAGTTTTAATGACTCCAACCTAAGTGTATCGAAACTTCCGACTTCAACTGTATGTAGACACTGTTATGGTGCTGCAGCACAGGAGGCTGGTGAGAGGAGAACAGCTCATAATAATGGCTGGAATGGAGTGGTATCAAACACATGTTTGATACCGTTTTCTTTATTCCATTCCAGCCATTACTATGAGCCCGCCCTCCCAAATTATGGTGCCACCAGCCTCCTTTGTACAGGAGATAATGGGCGCGTTCCACAGCGGGACGCAACAACCAATGGTTGCATGCCACATCAAAGACTGTGTCATTGATTGACAAATTGCTATAATATATTATGTTAGCTGATAGTTAAAATTCCCATCCAGTTGTGAGACGTCAGCAACATCTAAGCATAGGAATGTGCCCCAAGACTATGAAGTTGAAAAGGTGGAATTCCCCTTTAATAGAGTTTGTATTTGTAACAAATACAATTTGTTAAAAGTGTATTTGAGCACTAGTCAGGAAAACCATCACTATAGTTTATAAGCCAGTATGTTCTACTATAACTCAACTTCCAGACTCACATAAAGAATCTCCAATCCAAAGGTAAATCTAGAATCGGCTTCCTATTTCGCAACAAAGCCTCCTTCACTCATGCTGCCAAACATGCCCTCGTAAAACTGACTATCCTACCGATCCTTGACTTCGGCGATGTCATTTACAAAATAGCCTCCAACACTCTACTCAGCAAATTGGATGTAGTCTATCACAGTGCCATCCGTTTTGTCTCCAAAGCCCCATACACTACCCACCACTGTGACCTGTACGCTCTTGTTGGCTGGTCCTCACTACATGTTCGTCGTCAAACCCACTGGCTCCAGGCCATCTATAAATCACTGCTAGGCAAATCCCCGCCTTATCTTAGCTCATTGGTCACCATAGCAGCACCCACCCGTAGTCTGCGCTCCAGCAGGTATATCTCACTGGTCATTCCCAAAGCCAACACCTCCTTTGGCCGCCATTCCTTCCAGTTCTCTGCTGCCAATGACTGGAACGAATTGCAAAAATCTCTGAAGCTGGAGACTCTTATCTCCCTCAATAACTTTAAGCATCAGTTGTCAGAGCACCTTACCGATCACTGCACCTGTACACAGCCCATCTGAAATTAGCCCACCCAACTACCTCATCCCTATATTGTTATTTATTTTGCTCTTTTGCACCCCAGTATCTCTATTTGCACATAATCTCTTGCACATCTAGCATTCCAGTGTTAATACTATTGTAATTATTCTGCACTATAGCCTATTTATTGCCTTACCTCCATAACTTGCTACATTTGCACACACTGTATATATATTTTCTGTTGTATTTCTGACTTTATGTTTTTTACCCCATATGTAACTCTGTGTTGTTTTTTATTGCACTACTTTGCTTTATCTTGGCCAGGTCGCAGTTGTAAATGAGAACCTGTTCTCAACTGGCTTACCTGGTTAAATAAAGGTGAAATAAAAATAAATAAATAAAATAGCTACACTGAGTGTCCAAAACATTAGGAACACCTGCTCTTTCCATGACAGACTGACCAGGTGAAAGCTATGATCCCTTATTGATGTCACCTGTTCAATCCACGTCAATCAGTGTAGATGAAGGGTAGGAGACAGGTTAAAGAAGGATTTTTAAGCCTTGAGACAGTTGACATGGATTCTGTATGTGGGCCATTCAGAGGGTGAATGGGCAAGACAAAATATTTAATTGCCTTTGAACGGGGTATGGCAGTAGGTGCCAGGCGCACTGGTTTGAGTGTGTAAGAACTGCAACGCTGCTGGGTTTTTCATGCTCAGCAGTTTCCCACGTGTATCAAGAATGGTCCACCATCCAAAGGACGTCCAGCCAACTTGACACAACTGTGGGAAGCATTGGAGTCAACATGGGCCAGCATCCCTGTAGAACTCTTTCGACACCTTGGAGTCCATGCCCTGGCGAATTGAGGCTGTTCTGAGGGCAAAGGGGGGTGCAACTCAATATTAGGAAGGTGTTCCTAATGTTTTGTATACTCAGTGTATATTTCCTATTATGTGTAACAATGTTTTCCTCTCTATGTTGCCATATTTATTATTTTCATGAATCATGTTTGTTCTCAATAAAACTATATCACTACGATGGTAGTGGTTTGGCACTTCCTTTCTGTGCGACAGGCTGGATGTGTGTATGGTGGGGTAGAGTGGAGAGCCTGAGAGGTGATCAGGACATTTAAATGTCAATGACTCAGCCAACCTGTTCTCGAACCTGACCCTGGGTTGCACAGGAAGTTACAGCATGCTGCGTCACATCATGATGATGTCAGAGGTTCTAAACCAATCACTGTGGGGTATACAGCTGACAGAGATGCTGCGTTCACGTGCTAGTCGGAACTAGGAAACGCCGAAATTTCCGACTAGCTAACTGGTTGTAGTTATACACGTGCCGCGTTAAACCAGTTATCAAGTCAGAAATGTCAGTTTCCTAGTTCCGACTAGCACATGAACATGGCAAGAGACACAGAAGAGGGTAATGACTTGTTCATGCCTATTGAATTAGACCCTGTACACTGAACAGACATATTTGTTGTAATGTTTTGGTTTTTCGTCTGTGACTACACAAAACAATGGTAATAAATAATCATGTCATTGCCATTACATATTGAATATTTTAATGCACTCAATAAAACATGACTTTATATAATTCACAAAGAATCGATAAAAGGAAACTCCTGCATCAGAGGCGGTTTTACACAACAGAAGAGAAACCATCAGTTCAGGTATTAAAACTAAAAGTAGTCTCCGATTTGGTGTGTGGAACAGTGCTGGCCACGTATTGCTGCTACAAAGCTGAGGATTATAGGACTTTTACAATAGAGAGGGAAACCCTGCTCCACATCTCACACACACAGCTGGAAAGAGTAAAAACCCCTTGACTGCATCTCTGCTATGAGAGTTTTAGACAGGGGGTCAAAACAACACGATAAAGTCGTCATTCCTCGTGCACACCATCCTCCCCCTCTATCTTATTTTCTCCCACACTCCTTCTCCAGTCATCCTGGTGGTCACCTTCTCTCTCTCCCGGTCAGAAGCTTGTTAGACAGAGGTCTGCTTGTAGTTCTTGGTGTCCAGAACCTTCTTCCCACACATGGCACAGATACCTAAGAAAGAGAAAGCAATATAAGGGAGATTGTTATCAGGTGAAAGTGTTACACAATTTGCTTCTGAAAGAGCAACCAAAATGTCATATAACATGGGGTGTGTGTAGGTAGATATAGTACCTTTCTTGTAGGCGCAGCCTTGGCAGTAGTGAGATCCTGATTGGTGAACAGAGCTCTTGCAGATTCTGCAGATGCCAAAGCCTGACTTTCCTGGCTTCCCATAAGGATCAAACCTGTTGACAAATTCATATTACTGTAACATAATCATAACCTGACCATATACAACATCAACCTGCTCTCATCATCATTAACAACAACAACAACAGTCTTACCTGGCCTTCTTAGATGTCAGAGCCTTGTTCTCGTTCAGCTTCCGCCCACCGCTCTCTAAAAAACATAATACAATACTGTAATGAATAAAGAGTATCAAAGAATTCTAAACTATGTAATACAAAATTATGTAACTACACTACTCTACCTGTTGTGTTTCTAGCTCCATCCTTCCAGGTGTCGGGAGTTATCACCCTGCCCAGCTTCTTCTCACCTGAGAGAGAAAGAGAAGAGATAGAGGCCGAGGGTGGAAAAAGAGAGGAAGAAAAGTTCAGAAATATGAGTGGTAGAAATGAAGAAAAAAAAATAGGTCGAGATGGGAATTCATTGCTAGCTGCAGAAGTCACACAAACACTTCTCGTTCGTTCTCTGATACACAGTCGGGCATGTTAATTACGTAGACTAAACAACAAAACAAGCCTTCAGCAACAGTTTCTAGCTAGATACCGTAGCTCAGATAAACAGAATCAGCTAACGTTAGCTAGCCAGTTAGCTGGCCAGCTAACTAGCCAGAGTAAGCTAGCTGGCAAGCTGCTAGCACAGCATCGCTTTCTAACGTAAGCGTTATTACATGCTTTACGGATATAACTTCCTATAATCCCAAAAAGGTCGTACTTACAATTGTCACAAACCATATTTTCTTTGTTTAGACGAAAAAACAACACTTTTTGCTAAGAAATTGTACCTAAATGTGTAGCTCGTGTGTCAACAACGATTGTAAACTTCCTGTTAATCTGGGACATCAGAATCCGATTGGTTGAGCTCCCAGGTGTGGTGAATCGTTATTGGCTGCCAGATATGTCAGTCAATGTAGGGTAGGTTCAAGCATCTGGCCTTGCTCGGCTCCATGTTTACGGAAGTGAGTCTGATGAATGAACACTACATAATGTCCGTGTCGATGTGAAATTTTGAAAAACTGTCACGTATAGTTAATTTGTCTAATTTAGAATAGTAGCTACTGTCATATGTCTAAGGATGAAGCTAGCTAGGCCACAAAGGCAGTAGCTAGGAGCCAAAAAAACGTCAACTAGACTCAACGTCGCAACAGCTCAGTAGTAAGAGGTTCTTAAGGTAAGGCTATTCAGACTATCCACTGGCACTGCCTGTATCTGCCAAAGTTAGTTGGTTTTGTGCTAATAGCTGTTAAAGTTATTGCCAGGGGGGTTAGTGGTTCAGACTATTATGATGATGATTTACAATGCAATCAGCCTGGTCTGGCATCCCTGAGTCTGCATCTGTTAACCATGCCTTTATTGCGCAGGTGGTTGTGCACTCGCCCTGTAACGGCTACGTCTTTTCCTCTCAATCGATGCAACATGATACCATAATACCATATTTCCTATCCCCGTACAGGTAGACCTGACCAGACCTCTCTCCAGCACAATGTGGGACCAGGAGATCAGACAGATGGCATCCAGCCACGCCATCATGGCGTCGGGGGTGTTTATGGCGACAGTGGTGCCGGCGGTGCTAGTGCCGGGTTTCTCTGTGTATGGGACACACCTGCTGTGGCTGTACTCTGTTGCCGGGGCCGTCGCCGTGGTCAACATCACCCTGTTCTGGCTGCTGGGGGTCAGCCCTCCCACCAAGAAACACACTATCACCTACAAGGTACAGAGGCATACACACATCTGAGGGTATGATCACTTTTATATCAGACCAGTACTGAATAGTATAAGCTGATCATCTCCTCTTCCTCTCCTCCAGGTGTCTAGGTTGGTGCGTTCCTGTCTCTACCTGCTCCTCTCCTGTCTGTTCTTCCACACTGTAGTGATCCTGTATGGAGCACCGCTCCTGGAGTGAGTTCTGCCACGAGTGTGTGTGTTTCCAACTGCCAAGATTGAGTGTGTCAGATTGTGTTGTAAGTCTTTGTTTCTGACTCTTTTCACTGTGTTTAGGACTGCGTTGGAGACGTTCTCTCTGGCGGTGTTGTTGACCAGTCTAACCACTCTGAGGTGTGTGTGTGTCCTTGGGCCCAACGTCCAGGCTTGGATAAGAGTGTTCAGCCGACATGGGTACTACATCTACTTCTGACTCTCTCGGTCTCACACATTTCCTCATCCTCATATTCTCTCTCTAGTCAAACTCTCTCTTCAACTAGGGCTGGCTGATATCGAATTAATTCGATTAATTTGAATTTGAAATTAGCGCGAAGTTCCAAATGCCTGTATCGTTTTTATATTTTTCTGTTTTTGAGTGTTTGTCTTTTTGGCCTCATCTCCTTCGCTCCGTCTGTGCTGTGCACCTTCCCACTTGCACACAGACACCAAGCCCCTCCGCCTGTCACTAACAACAACGAAGAGCATCTTCTTCCTCTCTGACAACAAGCCGTTTCAACTCGCTATTTGCATTTGAGGTTTGGTCCAACATAATCGGTAATATGGACACCAAAACACATTGACACATTTTACTGTAATAGAGAACTTAACCTTTGTAAATGTATCCTTTTTATGTCTCAACTCCCAAAATGTAGAACAGAGCAGTCTACAAGACGGGAGTATCAATGAACATGATTGTGAAAAATGTACTAGTATACGCAGTTTTTTTTTCGCGCGCGCCATTGCAGTACCGCTAGCAGCATTTTAGCCAGACGGTTATGTGCTAGCTGTCTAGTCTGTGTTTTATAGATGTGCAATGAGCATAAAAATCCGTATTTATATAAGCAATTGGCAACTCGGTCTCATTCTGAGAAATAAGAATCTTATCCAGGTAGGTCACTTGATTTCAACATTGAAACAAAGTGAACAGGCTATATTGTTCAAACAGTTGGAGACAGACGGGTGGGTGTGAATTTACAACAGTTCAACTGTTCTACCTTGTTAGCAAGCAAATAGTTACAGGTTTGCTTTAATATAAATATAAAGATTAGCTGGCTACTCACTAACAGGTGGGCTTGTGCTTGAGAGATTGTTTATTAGACCTGTGTTAATTTCCTATAATGCCTGCTACCAGAAGTTGGTCATTATTAGTGGATGTGCATGCTTCTGGTTAAATTTGTAATAAAAAGGGCATTTTCATAGACAGACTTGAAAGCCAGATAAGTGATTATTGCAACAACATAAAAAGCAGGTTAAACTATTTTGATCAAATAATTAAATTATTAGTGGGCCTTAGGGTTGAAGGCTTATATTTAGGCCTAGGTATAATTGTACAAGCCCTGAATTCATTAGATTATTCCCGACTGTTTGAAATGCAGTGTATTGATAATTAATTGTGTAACAAAGCTTATTTAGATAACTTAGTTTTTTAAAATCGAGATATCGTGAATCGCCCATACGTTTGAAAAATGTGAGATTTTTAGGCCATATCGCCCAACTCCTTCTCTCTCTCTCTCGCCCTCTCTCTCTCTCGTATGTCCACCAGGAGGCAGTCTTCAAAACTACATCACAAGCTTCACAATGACGACGCTTTGTGTGTGTCTGTGTATGTGAAATGTGTATATAGTGCCAATAGTCTACACCCGCATGAACTTTTGTCACATTTTGCTGGCTTAAATTAAATTATATATTTTTCCCTACATATCTACACAACCTACACTTTTTAAAGTGAATGAAAGTTATAGAACATTTTCCAAATTAAGAAAAAAAAAACTGAAACATCATAATTGGGTAAGTCTCCTCCCCCCTGAGTTAATACTAGGTGGAAGTCCCTTTGGCAGTCATTACCGCTGTGAATCCTTTTCATTAAGATTCTACCAACTTTGCACAACTCTTAGGGCGACATATATCCATAGTTTTTGTCAAAATCGCACAGGCTCAGTAAATTTGGTTGGGAATCATTGATGGGCAGCGATATTTAAACCTTGTCTCAGATTTTTTAAGCAGATTTAAGTCAGCACTGAGACTGGACCGCTCAGGAACACTCAGAACCTATTGGAAAGCCATTCTGGTGTGTCTTTTACATAAAGATGTGTGTAATTGTTCCGCAGAAAAATAAAACCCTATCATAGGGTTAAGTTTTCAGAAGACAGGTAGGTTTTCCTGTAACATTTTTACATTTGCTCCTTTCATATTTATTTTGATCCTAACAAACTCCACAGTCCCTGCCGGTGACAAGCATACCCATAACATGATGCTGCCAACACAATATTTGTGTGTGTGTGTGTGTTTCAGGGCCATGTCAGTGTGGGACACCTCTCTACAGATGGTGGTCGGCTGCAGTGTTGTTGGAGCCTGGCTGGGAGCCTTCCCTATCCCTTTGGACTGGGACCGACCCTGGCAGGTCAGAACACACACAGACAGAAAGGCCATGAGTAGATTGACACGATTCTTTACTTTCATATCAGCAAGCCATGTCTGTTCTACACAATGTATTTCTATCTACAATTGTCTGTAGGTGTGGCCCGTCTCCTGCAGTCTGGGTGCAGTGATTGGTTACCTGACTGGGCTAGTCGCCGCCCCCGCCTGGATCCACTGGCACCGCAAACACCTCACCTACAAGAGCAAGTGATGGACTGGGGAGAGAGTGAGGAAGTGATGGACTGGGGGGAGAGAGTGAGTGAGGAAGTGATGGACTGGGGAGAGAGAGAGTGATTGTGTTTGTATACGAGCATGCGGTTTATATGACAGTCCTCCAGGCAGCTGATCCATTATCCCTGTAGTAATCCTGTATTCCATTGGTATCTGAATATGTATTGGACTGTTGGAGTAGACAGGCCCTCTCCTGTAAAATATGTTGCCATGTAAAAAGATTTTGACAAATAAAGTCTTAGTTCTCTACAAACTTTTTATTTGTAATCCTCTGATTATGGTTAATCCAATAGGCTTGTAACTGGGTAATTACAGACAAAAAAAACACAAACAGCCACAGATGTGCATTACACACACTGCTCCATTAACTCTAATAACTGCCATCTTTCAATATCACAACTTAATGTTTTCATTTTCTGTACTATGGCTAGGCTATTGTGTGTGTTGCTGTGTACTGAAAGGTCATTTGTCTTTCTTCTTCCCTGGAGAACTGCTCCAATCTTTACCTTCTGTTCAGGGAGTGAGATGGAGAGAGGGAAGGAGGGAGAGAGTGTGCAGTAAGAAAGAGAGTGGGTGGAAAGAGAGGAGAAAAGGGGGGGGTGCAATAAGGAGAGAGAGCGAGGGGGTGAGTGGGTACAGAAATTGGCTGTGGAATGAGTCAATACTCTCTCTAATTGAGGGACTAACATTTCATGACCATTTGTCTTCAGCGGTCTCATCATACAAGCTCTCCCTCATTTTTATTACCCTCTCTCTCCCCCTCCTTTTCGGTCTTTCACCCTCTTCTTTCTCGCGCCCTTCTATTCTTTCTATATAACCCCCTCCTGTCTGTGTGTGTGTGTGTGGGGGGGGGACAGGTAGAGATACTGAAGTTCTCTCCAGTCGCTCTTTTTCTAAGAGCAGGAACAATAGAACACATGACAGAGAGCTGCAGTGGGCCATCGTGACACTCAACCACAGAGAAATGGTGAAGGAGGTAGACAGTAGGTAGGGATTGGATGAGGAGAGACGGTAGGTAGGGATTGGATGAGGTAGAGACGGTAGGTAGGGATTGGATGAGGTAGAGACAGTAGGTAGGGATTGGATGAGGTAGAGACAGTAGGTAGGGATTGGATGAGGTAGAGACAGTAGGTAGGGATGAGGTAGAGACAGTGGGTAGGGATTGGATGAGGTAGAGACGGGGAAGGGGTAGATGTATTGTATGTGTAGCTGGGCAGCATAGTGTCGGCCAAGCCAAGGGAACCTATAGATGTAAAACCTTAGCAAAGAAAATGAGAAAAGAGCCTGACATGTCTCTTTGGCTTATAGAGGCAAAGAGGAGCATCCGTCATAACAGCACAGCCACCCACCCTTCTCCACAAGAGACGAAAGATGTCCAAGAGCCAAGTGAACAGCAGCTGAGACTGCACCAGATGGAGGTCTTTCTTAAACACATCCTTCCTCTGGCAGACCTGTGGTGCTGTCTAAAGCTGTGCGGGAATAGAAGGTCTGTCATATCTCCATTCTAAAGCTGTCGGTCAGAGAGAGAGCGAAAGAGAGCCAATGATGTACAGTGCATTCGGAAAGTATTCAGAGTCCTTGACTTTTTCCACATTTTGTTAGGTTACAGACTTATTCTAAAATGGATTAAATTGTTTTTCCCCATTTTTTAGATTTTTAGTCATTTAGCAGACGATCTTATCCAGAGCGACTCACAGTTAGTGAGTGCATACATTTTCCTTTTCAGTCCCCTCATCAATCTACACACAATACCCCATGACAAAGCAAAAACAGGTTTTTAGATATTCTCATTTATATCATAAATAAATAAGAAAAACTGAAATATTACATTTACATAAGTATTCAGACACTTTACTCTGTACTTTGTTGAAGCACCTTTGGCAGCAATTACAGCCTTGAGTTTTCTTTGGTATGACACCTGTATTTGGGGAGTTTCTCCCATTCTTCTGTGCAGATCCTCTCAAGCTCTGTCAGGTTGGATGGGGAGCGTCGCTGCACAGCTATTTTCAGGTCTCTCCAGAGATGTTCAATCGGTTTCAAGTCTGGGCTCTGGCTGGGCCACTCAAGGACATTCAGAGACTTGTCCAGAAGCCACTCCTGCGTTGTCTTGGCTGTGTGCTTAGGGTCGTTGTCCTGTTGGAAGGTGAACCTTCGCTCCCAGTCTGAGGTCCTGAGCACTCTGGAGAAGGTTTTCATCAAGGATCTCTCTGTACTTTGCTCCATTCATCTTTCCCTCTATCCTGACTAGTCTCCCAGTCCCTGCCACTGAAAAACATCCCCACAGCACGATGCTGCCATCATCATGCTTCACCGTAGGGATGGTGCCAGGTTTCCTCCAGACATGACGCTTGGCATTCAGGCAAAGAGTTCAATCTTGGTTTCATCAGACCAGAGGATCTTGTTTCTCATGGTCTGAGAGTCCTTTATGTGCCTTTTGGTGAACTCCAAGCGGGCTGTCATGTGCCTTTTACTGAGGAGTGGCTTCCATCTGGCCACTCTACCATAAAGGCTTGTTTGGTGGAGTGCTGCATATATGGTTGTCCTTCTGGAAGTTTCTCCCATCTCCACAGAGGAACTCTGGAGCACTGTCAGAGTGACCATCGGGTTATTGGTCACCTCCCTGACCATGGCCCTTCTCCCCCGATTGCTCAATTTGGGCAGGCGGCCAGCTCTAGGAAGAGTGTTGGTGGTTCCAAACTTCTTCCATTTAAGAATGATGGAGGCCACTGTTTTCTTGGGGACCTTCAATGCGGCATAATTTTTTTGGTGATGAACTACACGCAAGCAATAAATGACTGTAGTCTACATTTCTATAGAAATATACTACGACTCGGAGGTGGGGTTGATGCAGACGAGACACAGTCGGGTGCTTTGGGAACCAAGCCAATAAGGGACAGAGGATCACTGGGTAGTTAACTGCTTTTATCACATTTATCAACTATTTTTTAAACAAATGTGCCAGACATACATCACATGTTCTCATATAATTACGTTAATATTTTTGTTCCTCCTCCTCATCATCAACATCATTTCTCTGTATAGTTTCAGTCTTAGAGCCGTGGATGACGTGATAGGGGTGAGTCGGGTTAGTTGATCCTAGGCCAAGCCAGGGGTGTATTCAGTGAGGTGAAACTTTCAGAATATTATACAAAGAAATCAGAACACTTCTGTAACATTCCCCCCTTCTGAACAGACCCCTGGTGAACTTGGCTGGTCTGAGCTGGGCTTGGGATATAGGGCTGGACTGGGTTTAGGTCGTTTTCCTGGGTTGTGCAGCCATGTAGAGGGCCACGAGGCAGTAGAGTGCGCCTCCTACTGTCAGAGCCATGGTGGTGCGGTACAACAGTCTGTCAGGGACACCTCTCTTCAGATGAACTGGAATACCATCTGACGTCTGAGGCAGGGACAGAGAAAGAGAGAGGGACTGTTAAGCCCTAAACACACAGGGAGAGTTTTATTTTACGTGTGTGAACGAGCGTGCTCATGCTGTAAATACAGGGGAGTGAAAAAGACAAAACAGACATCTGCGAGCGTCAATGGCGTCACGAGCATATAGCAAGTAAAATTAGAAAGAACGTTTCTTTTTCTCGCGGAGCAATGCTGGTCAAATTAGCCGATAAGTTGTCAGAAAATAGACTGTTTGTGCATCGTAACATTGAATTGTGACATATATAGTTAAAAAGTGTCTATTTAGTGTTGCTAAGTTTAACTGCCAGTGCCAACATTATGTATAGGATAGAGCTTATAATAAATGATGTAACAATGCATGAATGCGACGACATTCTATACATTTATCAACTGGATTGTGTTTCGGAATTGCACATCACGTTGTCGATGTCATTTATTGTCGATGTCATTTAATGACAGTAGGCTATCACCGTTGTAGCTTACAGCCAATTTCATTGATGAAATTCAAATAAAGTGCATGTTTGGGGAGGGCCTTGGGTAATTTGTAGAAAATGAATTAGAAGAGATGTTATGATCTTCCCTATGATTTGTTGTAGTTTAAAATGTATTGGGCTGTAGGCTAGGGTTTATCAGTAAAATAGGCTACCTATATAAAAAAAAAACAATGGCAGTATATCAGTGTTGATTTCCATCAAAGGCATATAACCTAGGTGGGCTATGGCTGGAAAACTCAAGGAACTCCAATTTCGAGAGAGAATACAACTGTTTATTATGGCTTTTTATGACAATCATGCTGCCTTACGTTACGCAGTGTATGAATTAATGCCAACTTCACATCGTTGACGGACATCGCCCCGTGTGACTTGGGCTTTAGAGGAGAGAGAGAGGGGGGGAGTGTGTACCTGGAACAGTCTCTGGAAGTCTGGCACCTTGTTCACCCCTAGGTATTCCATCATGGCCCCTGACTCTGACACCATCTTGGTGGGTGTAGCAAACGTCATGGTGGGAGGCTCTGCTGGCAAACCAGGCCTCAGACCCTGGAAAAGAACACACAGTTTTATCTCAACACCAACAAGTTAGGACAACTCATTTAAGCACTTTTGACAAGCAATATAACCAGGTGCTAGTCAACTCAGTAAGGACAGGAGGGACGCTGCCACCTCTGGACATAGCTAACTAGTTACACAAGCAATGAAGTTAAGGTTAAAAAGTAGAAATATACGTATCCCTATTAATACAACTCAAAATAAATACATTTTTCACGTTTAGGCTCGGCCTCTTGGATACCCCACGACCTTTGTTCTGTCAGGCATCGCCGCACCGTCAGTTAATGAAGGTCACTGACGCTGGGTACCCAGCCTCTCACTGTCCGACTAGTGCAGTCTTCTCCCGGACTTACCTGCGGGCTGTAGGCGGTGGCCGGTGCCGACCCTGTCAACCTCTGGCTGAAGCCGCTGAACTTGTAGTATGTCATGTTGCCAGCTGAAGGACAGGTCAGATGGTGATTAGTTACGGTTACAACACACAGCTTCCCTCGAGAAAAACACCCGGCGAAAAGGGTCTTTCCTGAGGCAGCGTCGAAGGAAAGTGACGTGATGAGGTGTCTCTGCACTGCCCGTTCATAAATACAACCGCTATGTCTACCCTATGGCCTCACCACAGTACCAAAGAGTATTGCGTCCCTTTAATATTTTAAGTAGAAATTGTGCACCAGTATTGAATTTTAAATGCCTGTTATATTAAATGAAGTGCCCTTTAATATAGACCACATGGACAATGAAATCAATCTGATTTTTAATATGAATAAAGACTTGCTAAAGTGCCAAAATTCTGCATTTTGAAATGTCCCTTTGTGCACCCTCTGTTACTTCTATAAAGATTTCAATCCACATAACCCCAAGATTTCTGCACGTTTTCATGATCAGTGTAAAGCCATAGTTATTTTGTTGCTTTGAGAAAGTCATTTCTGAAGATTATTATTTATTTTATGTTATTAATGATTCACATAGGCTATGTCTGTACCATTATTTTAAGGGCAACCCCATTATGTGAACTGAACTCACATTTTAAAATGGTGAAAATATATATATTTTTTAAAGAAACATTGAACATCTAAAAGCCAAATCATAGTGTAAAAGCAGGTGAGCTGGTTCTACTGTTTTGGGCCATTTTCTGGTGTTTTTGTGGTGGAAAACTAAGTGGTTTGAGCGTAACACGTCAACCCTGTTACCCATTGATAGACAGGCTATTCATGTTTTAACAATGTAAAAAGATTGTGTGAAGCTTGCATTCAATTGCCACACCCTGTTGCACACAACACGCTTACATTCCCCCTGTCACAACGGGATTTACGGCTGATTTAAAATCAAATCAAATCAATTTTTATTTGCCACATGCACCGAATACAACAGGTGTAGACCTTACAGTGAAATGTTTACTTACAAGCCCTTAACCAACAATGCAGTTTTTTAAAGAAAAAATCTAATACAAAAATTGTTAAGTAAAAAATAGATAAGTAAAAAATAAAAGCAAATAACTAAAGAGCAGCAGTAAAATAAAATAACAGTAGGGAGGCTATATAAAGGGGGGTATCGGTACAGAGTCAATGTGTGGGGGCACCGTCTAGTTGAGGTAATTGAAGTAATATGTACATGTGGGTAGAGTTAAAGTGACTATGCATAAATAATAAACAGAGTAGCAGCAGCGTAAAAGAGGGGGATGGGGTGGAGTGGAGGGGCAGTGCAAATAGTCTGGGTAGCCATGATTAGCTGTTCAGGAGTCTTATGGCTTGGGGGTAGAAGCTGTTAAGAAGCCTTTTGGACCTAGACTTGGTGCTCCGGTACCGCTTGCCATGCGGTAGCAGAGAGAACAGTCTATGACTAGGGTAGTTGGAGTCTTTGACAATTTTTAGGGCCTTCCTCTGACACCGCCTGGTATAGAGGTCCTGGATGGCAGGAAGCTTGGCCGCAGTGATGTACTGGGCCGTACGCACTACCCTCTGTAGTGCCTTGTGGTCGGTGGCCGAGCAGTTGCCATACCAGGCGGTGATGCAACCAGTCAGGATGCTCTCGACAGTTAACTTTTTGAGGATCTGAGGACCCATGCCAAATCTTTTCAGTCTCCTGAGGGGGAATAGGCTTTGTTGTGCCCTCTTCATGACTGTCTTGGTGTGTTTGGACCATGATAGTTTGTTGGTAATGTGGACACCAAGGAACTTGAAGTTCTCAACCTGTTCCTCTACAGCCCCGTCAATGAGAATGGGGGCGTGCTCAGTCCTCTTTTTTCCCCTGTAGTCCACAATCATCTCCTTTGTGTTGATCACGTAGAGGGAGAGGTTGTTATCCTGGCACCACACGGCCATGTCTCTGACCTCCTCCCTATAGGCTGTCTCATCGTTGTCAGTGATCAGGCCTACCACTGTTGTGTCGTCGGCAAACTTAATGATGGTGTTGGCCATGCAGTCATGGGTGAACAGGGAGTACAGGAGTGGACTGAGCACGCACCCCTGAGGGACTCCCGTGTTGAGGATCAGTGTGGCAGATGTGTTGTTACCTACCCTTACCACCTGGGGCGGCCTGTCAGGAAGTCCAGGATCTTGTCGCAGAGGGAGGTGTTTAGTCCCAGGGTCCTTAGCTTAGTGATGAGCTTTGAGGGCACTATGGTGTTGAACGCTGAGCTGTAGTCAATGTATAGCATTCTCACATACAGTTGAAGTCGGAAGTTTACATACACTTTAGCCAAATACATTTAAACTCAGTTTTACACAATTCCTGACATGTAATCCTAGTAAAAATACCCTGTCTTAGGTCAGTTAGGATCACCACTTTATTTTAAGGATGTGAAATGTCAGAATAATATTAGAGATAATTATTTCTTTTAGCTTTTATGTATTTCATCATATTCCCAGTGGGTCAGAAGTTTACATACACTCAATTAGTATTTGGTAGCATTGCCTTTAAATTGTTTAACTTGGGTCAAACGTTTCGGGTAGCCTTCCACAAGCTTCCCACAATAAGTTGGATGAATTTTGGCCTATTCCTCCTGACAGAGCTGGTGTAACTGAGTCAGGTTTGTAGGCCTCCTTGCTCACACATGCTTTTTTCAGTTCTGCCCACATATTTTCTATAGGGTTGAGGTCAGGGCTTTGTTATGGCCACCCCAATACCTTGACTTTGTTGTCATTAAGCCATTTTGCCACAACTTTGGAAGTATGCTTGGGGTCATTGTCCATTTGGAAGACCCATTTGTGACCAAGCTTTAACTTCCTGACTGATGTCTTGAGATGTTGCTTCAATATATCCACATAATTTTCCTTCCTCGTGATGCCATCTATTTTGTGAAGTGCACCAGTCCCTCCTGCAGCAAAGCACCCCCACAGCATGATGCTGCTACCCCCGTGCTTCACGGTTGGGATGGTGTTCTTCGGCTTGCAAGGCATCCCCTTTTTCCTCCAAACATAACGATGGTCATTATGGCCAAACAGTTCTATTTTTGTTTTATCAGACCAGAGGACATTTCTCCAAAAAGTACGATCTTTGTCCCCATGTGCAGTTGTAAACCGTATTCTGGCTTTTTTATGGTGGTTTTGGAGCAGTGGCTTCTTCATTGCTGAGCGGCCTTTCAGGTTATGTCGATATAGGACTCGTTTTACAGTGGATATAGATACTTTTGTACCTTTTTCTTCCAGCATCTTCACAAGGTCCTTTGCTGTTGTTCTGGATTGATTTGCACTTTTCGCACCAAAGTACATTCTTCTCTAGGAGACAGAACGCGTCTCCTTCCTGAGCGGTATGACGGCTGCGTGGTCCCATGTTGTTTATACTTGCATACTATTGTTTGTACAGATGAACGTGGTACCTTCAGGCATTTGGAAATTGCTCCCAAGGATGAACCAGACTTTTCCTATGATGTCAAGCAAAGAGGCACTGAGTTTGAAGGTAGACCTTGAAATACATCCACAGGTACACCTCCAATTGACTCAAATTATGTCAATTATCCTATCAGAAGCTTCTGAAGCCATGACATCATTTTCAGGAATTTTCCAAGCTGTTTAAAGGCACAGTCAACTTAGTGTATGTAAACTTCTGACCCACTGGAATTGTGATACAGTGAATTCTAAGTGAAATAATCTGTCTGTAAACAATTGTTGGAAAAATTACTTGTGTCATGCACAAAGTAGATGTCCTAACTGACTTGCCAAAACTATAGTTTGTTAACAAGAAATGTGTGGAGTGGTTGAAAAACAAGTTTTAATGACTCCAACTTAAGTGTATGTAAACTTCCGACTTCAATTGTAGGTGTTCCTCTTGTCCAGGTGGGAAAGGGCAGTGTGGAGTGCAATAGAGATTGCATCATCTGTGGATCTGTTGGGGCGGAATGCAAATTGGAGTGGGTCTAGGGTTTCTGGGATAATGGTGTTGATGTGAGCCATGACCAGCTTTTCGAAGCACTTCATAGCTACAGACGTGAGTACTATGGGTCGGTAGTCATTTAGGCAGGTTATCTTAGTGTCCTTGGGCACAGAGACTATGGTGGTCTGCTTGAAACATGTTGGTATTACAGACTCAGTCAGGGACATGTTGAAAATGTCAGTGAAGACACTTGCCAGTTGGTCAGCGCATGCTCGTCCTGGTAATCCGTCTGGCCCTGCGGCCTTGTGAATGTTGACCTGCTTAAAAGTCTTACTCACATTGGCTACGGAGAGTGTGATCACATAGTCATCCGGAACAGCTGATGCTCTCATTCATGCTTCAGTGTTGCTTGCCTCGAAGCGAGCATAGAAGTGATTTAGCTCATCTGGTAGGCTTGTGTCACTGGGCAGCTCGCGGCTGTGCTTTCCTTTGTAGTCTGTAATAGTTTTCAAGCCCTGCCACATCCGACGAGCGTCAGAGCCAGTGTAGTACGATTCAATCTTAGTCCTGTATTGACTCTTTGCCTGTTTGATGGTTCGTCGGAGGGCATAGCGGGATTTCATATAAGCGTCCGGGTTAGAGTCCCGCTCCTTGAAAGCGGCAGCTCTACCCTTTAGCTCAGTGCGGATGTTGCCTGTAATCCATGGCTTCTGGTTGGGGTATGTAGGTATGGTCACTGTGGGGATTTAAGATGAAATCGTCAACGCTGTTATGGTCAACCCTGTTATGGTCAACCCTGTTATGGTCAACCCTGTTATGGTCAACCCTATTACTTTATTAGGCACTTAATAGGCACTTACTATAGTAATAATAATAATAATATGCCATTTAGCAGACGCTTTTATCCAAAGCGACTTACAGTCATAGTATTTTTTCCTTCTTTTTTTAACCTCTTGAGATGGGAAAACTCGTTTTTTATGAAGTTGAAGATGTGCTCTTTATGACAGAATGTTAAAATTAGGTGAAATCTATGTTTTTGTTTATGTTCAAAAGGCACCAAATGTGACGAGGTGTGAATGAAGGAGTCAGGCGCAGGAGGTAAAATATCGAAGTCCAGAGTTTATTCCATTTACATAAATCAAACGCCCCAAGTGTCAAACTAAACTATTACAAGGGAAAACATCCACATTGGCATAAACACAGTGAATAGTAGCTCAACCGAGCT